ACAAACAAAGTTAGGCCCAACCGACTCACATTCGGAGATTTCAAGTCTAACATTCACGGGCACTACTCCCAACGCGCTAGGCTCAACTCGAAGAACTGACGTTCTTTGAGTCTCCTTTGACGCTATACCCTACAACCTGAAACCCTAGACGATTATTTTTTTTTTGTAAAACCGAAAACTACATGACAGCATATTCATAGAAAAATAACTTTCTGATATAAAATTTAGTTTTTATTTTTTTTGATTTGATCATGTTCATTCTACGATCAAAAACTTATAAAATATTATAATCAATCAATGATTTGTGATTCAATTCAAAATGTATCAAAAATTTGATTGCAATCAAGTAAAACATATAATACACATTAAATTCTTCAGTTCAAAAAATCAAATGATACAGCATATTCGTAGTAGGTAAGCACAATGTGAATAATAACGTTTAGATTTTTTAGTTTCTTCAACAATGTTACATTAAATCTCAAAAAACTTGCAAAATAGAATTGACCTTTAACAAATGACATTTTTGGCAATAAATCTTGATTTTCTATTTATTATGCATCTTGTCAATATCCACAAGTAGATATTTCATCTTGTGATATAAGTCTCATTTGAAAGTTCTAACTTTCAAAGACTTCGGATTTTTGTTTGAAAAGTTAAACTAAATAAGTTATAAATAAAAATTCATTAAATCATAATCTAGATAATGAGGATTTATGCTTAGATATTCACATTTCAAATCATGAGATACAAATCCAAATAATTTTTTGCAGTAATTATTTCAAATAACAAAAGCATTTCTATGAAGTCAATAATATGATACTTATAAAGTTCAAAATTGCAAATCAGATCACGAACAACCATAATCAGCAAGTATCAAATATCTCACAACATATTATTTTACAAGAGATGTATCAAATAAAGTTGAATGTAGCATATGATCTAATCAAGTTCACTTATTCAAAAACATTATTGAACTTCATGAGTTAGTAATTTTTGTGCATTTGTAATTTTGTAATAATCTAATCGCATATTATCAAATCAATCACTTTTTTTACTCAAACGTTTTTGAATATGATTTTGTAAAAAGATTAAATTACGTATTCATAACATGTATAAAATGAAATGAGGTGAGTGATTTAAAATATTTGTATATCAAAAATTTACAAATTGATAACCTAATATACTATATCTGTCAGTTTGATCACATGTTAATAAAAATAATAATTTTCATCAGTATAAATATATAAATAAACTTTATATCTAAAAATGTGATAAAAACAAACACTATCAAATCATCACCAATATTATTGAGTGAGTTGCATAATATATAAGTCTAGGTTTTCAAATTCACTTCAATGAAAATGATATGCTTTACATAAAATTGACTATATTAGTTTTAAAACAATATGATTCAGATGCCAATGATTTTAAAAATATACATTTTGCCCAAAAAAATATATAAAAAAATTCCTGAATTGAGATCTATCTTTATATATCATATAAATATATTCCTTGTTATTATTTTTAAAAAATTAAAGACAAATAACATTCAATATTATTTGAATAAAAAGTATATGAAATAATTGATCATTGATTATAAATCAACTACAATGCTGTTGTAGATGATTTGTATCTTCACTTTACAATTCCATTCAAAGCAATGATGACTACAAAGAAAGTATTAAATTGTAAATACTAACAAATTTCTTTCATCGTTTATCTTAAATTTAATTAAGAACTATATTCTCAAAAAAATCAATATGATTATGATTTACTCTATCAAAATTATCCATCTCAACGTTCAATAACCTCCAAAAAACTGCATTCTTTAAGAAGAAAATGTGATTCAAGAGTCTTAATAATTTACAATCCTTATTTTATTGTAAATGATATTTTTAATGATTAAATGAATATTAAAATATAAAACTTCAAATATATTTGCTCCTCAATATATTGTAAAACTTTGTTGTAAAAAAATGAAAGATTTAACACAGTACATCTTGTATAATATCATGTTGTATTTGACATCTTATTTTTGAAATAGATGATCATTTATTATGTTCAATTACATTCACTCAAGCTTGATGTCATTGCTTATGATATCTTAAGTATTCTATTGTTTAATCTATTTTGATAAAATATTTGCTTTTGAAATTTTGATCAAGATTTTAATTCATGAAAGTCATGATTTTTTACTTTTATTGAAAACCATTTAAACTGATATTTATCTTTTAGTTAATTTGCAAAGTTTGCAAAATCTAATTTTGTTGGCTATCTTTATTAAATTTCACAACTTTAAAATTCAATTTTTTATTTATAAAACCGTGTATAATTGATCTTAAATCAATTTGACAATCAAAATTCTGCATCTATGACAATTTGTATTTTAACCCAACAAATCTTCATGCTTTATTTTATAAAACAACTTTAACCTGAAGCCAGTGAAAGTATTCAAGCTAGCAAAACTTACATCTCAAGCAAATCACAAGTTTGTTGCTGCATACTCAAAATTACTTTCATATCAAATTATATGTCAAATTAATTCAACATTAAACATATTATTCAGCATATTTATTCAACATTTGTATATTTAAAATTTGGATCAATATCAAAATGATGCAACAAATTCATAGAAGCAACTCCACATAACATATCAAAATTAACAACACATGATGTTATTTTATGATGTTAACATGTGATTGATTTTTATATGACAAAATCAAGTTGTTTTATTCAAAAATCTAAATTATGTGTGTTATTTGCACATAGTTTAAACTTTTTTCTATGAAAACATGTTACTTCAAAGTATACAAACTAAATTTTTTAGCATCTAAGTTATTTCACAATAATTTTGTTCTATTATAAGAAATAATTTATGTAGAATTTTTTTTTTTATTACTATGATGCATTTTTTATGAAATATAATGAAAGCATTTGAAGATAAATAATAATAATGTGAATACAATGATAATTTTTTGTATTTTAGTACATGATATTAGTTTTACATTATCATATTTCATATACATATATTAATACAAACGTGTAGATTAAGAGAATGTTTGATGATTTTATACACTTAACTATCAAAACTCTTTTCATTCTTTTTCTTTCTTATCATTTATCATATTTGTGAAACATCAAACATTGAAAATTGCAATCATTTGATATATGTGATAATATATTATTATTGATAATTTATAATGTAATGAATATAGTATAATGAAAACGTGAAAGAATATGATTATGGAATTTAATTTTATACGAATTAAACTTTGAATTTTTTTAAAAGTTTGAATTTTGATGAAATCAAATCAGTAACAAACAAACATGAACATGATATACACATCAGATTATATAAGATTCAAACAATCTTCATCAATCAAATTATTAAATTTTTTGAAGAAAGACAGTCAATCTAAGTATGGTTACAAATAATCTATTGAATCAATATCTTTATCAAATGTTGTTTATAGGTTGTATCAAACATATACTAGTTAAATTTGAAGATTAACTCATACATATGGATTAAGCTTCTCCAAATAGCTCATGAATTTGTTGTCATGTTTTGCATGATGATAATTGAAAGTGTTTTGTGCAAGAACGAATTATAGACATGAGATTCAAATATATTCATGTTTTTTCACCTTCATTGTTTTTTTGATGAATGTTATTTAATTTGAATTTAATATAAAAATAAAAAAATAAAAAAAATTCACTTGAATAAGAGGAATTTAATGTGAGCATCATCTTATATAAATTTGTGTATATTCAAAATTTGAATGTTATATAAACTTTTACATTAGACTTATTTCATTATAACATATTACTTATTTCAATAATATGTTTCATATGGTAACAGAAAGAATCTATGAAATTTGTCAAATCATTATGATATATTCGGTTTTTGAATCAATTATGATAAATGATCAAATTTCTTTCATAGATATAGAAGAAATAAAATAAGAATTTTGTTAATCAGAAAAAATTTATACATTATCACAGTTCAATGCAAGAATGGTTCTTATCATGTAAGATCACTAAAAAGTATATCATGTTTATCAATTCATTTTATATCGTATTTTTTGTAAAAATAAATATACCAATGGCTAATCAATCTTGAGGATAAATTTTTTTTGGATATGATACTAGCTGTACAGAAAATTATTAAAGTGTGATAATCTATCCAAGGTGATAACAATCTCAAATGTAAAAAGTCAGATTATTCTCTGACAATGAATGGAATTTATTTACAATTCTGGTCATTTTGCGTACAGAATATTACTTAAAATATTTTAAGCAATATTACTTGTATCACCAATTCATATATATTTTACTACTTTCACTCACAAACTCTTAATTCTATGAGGAGGTTGTTGTCTATGACTAGAGGAGATATTTTTCTTTAAAAAAATTTTACCAAGAATCATGAAATGCATATATTTCTCAACATCGTTGCTATGTAGATGAAATATATGTTTCATTTCTTCAAGTAATTTGAGTCTTGAGATGTTGCTAAATGCAATTTGTGTGTATTAGGTTGATTTTTTAATGTTGCTTTCTTTTTATGGTAAACTTCGGAAATAGGGCTCCACTTTTACACTGAATGCAAGTAGGCCGGATCTTGGATAACACTTTACGAGTGAGCTTAATGTGATTTGAAACTGTTAATCATATTTTATTTATAATGAATATTCAAGTTAAATTGTAGGACCTCATGCAATTTGCTTGTGATTAATTTCGCAAGTGTTGTGAAGTTGTTAGTTGAGATGGCTTCCGTGGTCTTTTCTTTGAAGTACAAGGCAATACAAATACTCACTTAAGAAATAAATATCTGTCCAAAAGTATTTCGTTCATTATCGGATAATAACATCGAAAATAATATATACATTTACTAGACGGAACGAGATATATGACATCGCTCGACTTCGGTACACCCGTTCACTTCGAAAGAGCAAAAAAATAATCAGGAAGCGTAGGTCTTTAGAAACAACGAAAGCAAAAAACAAGTCAATTCAAAGAGCAAAACTGGGACACCTATTCACTGTTCTTTTTGGTTGCTTCGAAGAGAATTGCGGAGGTGATGTTCGCCTTTAGATCTAGGGTTTGGTGCCATAGATCGACGATAGACGTTTCTTCCTGAGTAGGGCTTCCCAAGCTCGTTGTGCATAATCGAACTCTCTCCAATTCCTCTTCCCTTTCTCAAGTTGCAAACGAAATTCGCTTCGCACACTCTCAACCGCCACCATGGCCGAGCAGGTCAGTCGTGAAATTGAACACCATGAAAGAATTTGTGGAAGAATTTGGTGAATTTCTGTATGCTGGATGATGATTTCGTTTTGATCGGTTGTGTTGTACCATAGAATCTCAAATAGATGGGTGAATTGTAGGGTTTGCCCTTATACTTCGTTGGGCAAATTCACGAAAAATGGACGCGTTACCAGGCCGCACCGAAGTAGCTCGTGCAAGGAATTTGGCGTCGGATGCACCTCCTCCAGGCTGTGCCACTTGCACCCAAGCCTTGTTACCAATGCCACTCGTAGCACGAATTTCCCGAAATTTTGTCTGCTGCGACAGACATCCGCGATGTGCTGATAAGGATTTTTGTATTTTGTCTGGCAGACTGAGCGCGCCTTTTTGAAGCAACCGAAGGTTTTCCTCAGGTAGCTGCTTCTTGTCTCCTCGTGGATTATGTGTATTCCTGATATTAATCCCGTAAGTAGTGCTGTAAGGGGAAGCTTCAGGATTTTGTTAACTGTTTTCATGCGTCGAAAATCTGATCTTGTTTCGTGCTCTTTTTTGTTCAGTACCAAGTCTGTACTGAAGGCAAAGGCACCCGGCAAGGCTGGAAGCCGATTCTGGAAAAATGTTGGTCTTGGCTTCAAAACTCCCCGCGAAGCAATCGAAGGTAAGAAGAACTTGGTGATCTCGCGTTTGTGCCTGTATGCACTCACTGAATGGATCTCATTTGAATCTTGACATTTTTTCACCTGCCAAATCAGGTACCTACATTGACAAGAAGTGCCCATTCACTGGAAATGTCTCCATCAGAGGTCGTATTCTGATGGGCACCGTGTACTGCACGAAGATGACCCGCACTATTACTGTGCGACGGGACTACCTACATTTTGTCCCGAAGTACCAAAGGTATGCCTGTTGTTGCCATAATTGAATATATATATTGACCTATAATCTATTTGTAAGTTTACCTTTAAGTTAATGACAAGAGTCATTTAGGATCAGCAGCTTATTGACTGTCTGGCCTGTAATTGGCATCCGCAGGTACGAGAAGCGTCATTCAAATCTCTCTGCCCATGTTTCTCCATGCTTCCGTGTGAAGGAAGGAGACAAAGTTATCGTTGGGCAGTGCAGGTAATTCCCGATTCCATTGGTCGAAAGTGTGTCATGGACAGCATGTTCTGATGTGAGTTTCTAATCATGTGAACTGCGTCAGTTATTAACCTTTTGTACATCCGATGTGTTTCACGCAGACCATTGTCAAAGACTGTCAGATTCAACGTATTGAAGGTGATCCCGGCCGGTTCGTCCGACGGAGGTAGCAAGAAGGCTTTTGCCGCCATCTGAGTATGTAGGATTTACAAGGCCTTCGAGGTCCAATTTTTGAAATATATTCTCAAATTAAGTTCATCACCACTTGTTGTATCCTAGGATCAAGTAATTGCCTGCAAAGGCAGCTAGTACACGGCTCAATTGTCATTGTTTGTATTCGACTGTTACAAGAGATTGATGGAAAGTTAGTCACACCTTTGTCACACTCGTTTCGATGGCTATAACTCGTTACTGGCACATCTCAGTTCCATATGCTTTGACGAATAGGCTCAGAGTTGTTTGTACCGGAAGGACAGTATGAAATCCGCTGGTCTAGGCGTCTAGGATGCAATGTATCGGGGTTGCCCCGCTCCAGGTAGATATGGTGGGCCACCTGGCTCGGCAGAAACAATCAGTTCAATTTAATACAAAACACCAATTGAACACGTATTGAGGGTGATTACTGTCATGAGCACATTGAGACGAGCGTAACTATTGTGGTGTGTCGACTACATCGTCGGTCTGTATTGTGCTTTGAGTCGGTTATCTCTTAACGTGGAGCAGATTTTCAAGTCATTGCCTCCGTTTTCCATTTGGCTGGGCGTTGCCGAGTCTGTTTTAGGGGTCGATCATGCCCTAAAGCTCGATCATGGAGTCGACCATGCGAAGTTTGTGTAGAGTTAACTGTTGTTTCCGCTTTTGATCTCACTGGAGGATGAACTAAAGATATGGCTGTCGAATGGCTCTTCTTCAATATGCAGTCGAAGAATGATTATACTCGTATTGTCTACTGTGATGTGAATCCACACGCATGTGAGTTGCACATTGAGGACTGTCTTTTACGTATACGAATAAGAGTTTAAAAATATAGGCAAATATGTTCATGCTTTCGATGTAGTCGTCGTTGATGGTATTGTGGCCATATGCGAACTTTATCGCGTGTATCAGTGATCACACGAGCAGACTTTCCAGATCAGTTTCCCTCTTCTGATCTTCCAGATGGACCTATTACGCAGCTGTGAATTTGAGCATCTCTCTGATAAAATTTAGTAGCGGTCGCAGTCACGTCCCTTCCCATCCAATTCTTGAGGAAGCACCCTCTGCATTCTTCACATCCGTCCTGTGCCATCGACCGATACCGAAGTAAGTACCGCGTTTTTGCCACCCGAATGTGAACACTAGGTTCCCAGGCAACGAGGGATTCAACTGGACGTATATAAACTACACTGCAAGTCACCTCATCATTCATATCATCCAGGCCCCTAAAAGCCTGGATGATATACTGTAAGCTTTGCCAATGTACATGTAGGTCAAGTATTGATTACACTGGAAAGTGAGATGAATAAATTGACAAACAGCCACGCTGTGTGCCATTACCGAATGCCTAAGAGAGTATGAACCCCAAAGATAGATAAATATCACTGATGGTGCAATAGAAATTAACTCATACAGTACGCGTCACACTTCACTTTAGTTCTTTGAGTGTCACACTTATTTTCCTACTTAACTGATTATGATTTCCAGCCGGCAAGCTTATGGAAATCGCGACAAGTTCAGGAAGATATACAATGTATGAAATTGTATACAGACTGTACTTTGTACACTGCAAAATTGTAGCTCTTACAAGCAGATGCAAGAGCATTCTTCACATGAAGTCTGAAGCTAATTCTCATCTCATTGCACTGTTTTGATTTCAAAAAATAACTTAAATGGTTGTAGTCAGTTTTTTGCCAAAACTCACTTTAGTAAAAGTAGCTAGTTACAAATTCTCTAGCCGTTAACTTCTTAACTTAGTGTGTACTGCATTATTACCGAAATTTTAGACTTCAGCTGTCATTAAATTTTTTAAGCTTTAAATTTAAAGTACACACAATAATTCGACAAGGTGACATGTACATAATATCAAAAAATTAAAACGTAAGTGATTATTGTAGATATTTAGAGAGAGAAATATAAACCAATACAATGATAGTATACTACTAATGGTTCGAATTCCTCACTAGTGAGAACAAAAAATATATAAATAGAGAAGCATGAGGGCAGAGTTAGAAAGAAACAGTGTGTAGAATTACTTGTCATATCACAACATCCTGAAGATTAGTTGCAATATGTAATTCAAGGTAGAACATATCAATCTCCAAACTCAAACTTATTGATTTTTGAACAATTCAATAGTTCTTTCATGAAATGATTACCTCACATACTGCATCCTTTTAACACAAAAAAATGTTCGGAGCGAGATCATATATAAAGGTCTATCCTTTCAATGTGAAGTTGTTTTAACAAATCAAAGCTATATTTTTCTAATATATAAGATTGCAGATATTCTTTATTTGAGATGTAAGTATAGTCAAAATTCACATCTTCAATTCTTAGTATTGTTCTAAACTTTTCAATATGTAATTATAATACATTACACAAAAATATACATGAATTATCATCCAATTTTTTTCAAACTAGCTGCAACTTTATAATGCAAAGCTTCTGTATGAAACTATATTTACCTTTCAATCATGAGAAATATCAAGCTGAATTATAATGATTCAAACAAGAATGCTTGATTTCATCATCACAAACTTCATGTTTCCAACCGTGTTGCAGATCTATTGGCTCACATTCTTGACTCCTACTAGGATTGGAGTCACAAACTAAACAGACATAGCCTTTGATGAGAACACGAGACCATGACTCATTCCTCTATACGATTAACGAATAAACGAATAAAATTCAACCACATTATCACATTTAGAATTCAAAATTCACATCTCTCAAGTCAAACGGTTTTGACTTGAGAGTCCAGCGCAAAACAATGTATCATGAACATAGTGCAACTTATAGATTGGTCAATTGCAAATGCTTTACATCCATAGCTCATGCTGTCAACTAACAAAAGTTTACTTTCATTGATAGAAATTGTAGCTTTTGTACTTTGAAAGTCAACTACCATGATTAAAATGAGAAATACTTTAGCCACAGCTCGCATGTGAACATTGTACCCTTGCATTGTTGTCTCCAACCGCTTCATCTGATCACAAAGTATATATTAGTTTAGGCCATTATGAAACAAGTCTTCAAGAAAAATTGCAAGGTGATCAATTTTTTCATGAGTCAAGAAAAAAATATTTGCAAAATTTTGTCAAACAAGATGATATTCAGGAGTATTTGTATGTCTCTGTATTGCATCAAACCATTAAGATTTTCAACATTGCGTGAACAAGTCAAAGCTAGTCAACGAGTCTATCAATAAAGATATGTCCAGGCTGATGGTACAAATATCATTGGACAATGAACAAGAAGATATGCAAACTCATAAGTCCATCACTAAAATTATAGCCCATCTTAAGAAAAAATCCACCACTATGCATTAAGTCTTTGCCAAGCTCATCAAACTGTACACAACTTGGAAAAACATAGACGTTACCAAGAAATGAGTTGCTGAAAAAACCTCATAATCAAGATTATTCAAAAAGAGTGCTATTGAGTTAGAATCTACATTCTAATTGATTGTATCTAAAAAAAATCCTTAGTACTAATCCGTTATCATATTTAGAAAGAATACATATATTTAAAAGGATATTGCAAATTTTACAAAAGGATGAAGATTTATCAAGATAAATACGATATCATTGGTAGCAAAATTAAAAGACTACATTAACCATAGTAGAGCTTTCACAAACGATTCAAACAAATCCTCCACGATGTACTTTTGGCAATTTGTTCTCGATGCAAAATCTTTGAATTCATGAAGATGATTTCTTTATCCAATACAATCTTAAACTACATTCCAAACCATTTCAATATGATGTACACTATTGCACTAGATTAAGAAAGATCATCGAGCATAACATTTGAAAAAAATAAAGATCTTAATATAAGACCAGTATATAAATTGATTTTTGAAAGATCTAGAACTTAATTTGGACGACAATGATGATTTTATGATGTAAATGTATTTTGATTTTGGTAGATACAAACATGAGTTATATCCAAGCATGGATATAATATTCTCCCGCCTAAATTACGTAAATATGTATAATTTAGTCTCCTCGAAAAGATTACTTTAGTCTATTCAAAAACATTAATTTAGGCAAAAATGTCTCCTTACAAAGGTCATTTAGGCTAATTTACTACACTAAAAAGGTAATTTAGACCAATTTAATTTCTAAAAATTAAATTTAGGCTAATTTAGTTTACTAAATTTTTTTTTCAGAGTAGAATTTTTTTTAAAATTTTTCCTAAAATATTTACATTAATGTATAAAAAGTAAAATAAAACATCCATCAATTCTGCATACGTGTCCACTCTCCATTGGTTATGACATGTACATGCCAAATTGTAACTCCCTTAATTTAGTAGCCTAATCACCATAAAGTTTGGGTAATTTAGGCGACCTTATATACGGTCGCCTAATACAACCATGCCTGATTATATCCAAATATCACCGCGATGGCAATGGAGACTGAGAAAAAAGTGGTAGATTTGAAAAATTAGAGTGTAAATGATTTGTCGTCTTGAAATTTTACCTAGGATTTCACAACATTTAATGAATGTCAATAATCAAACTTGTATTTATATAGATCTATAACTTGTACTTCTAACCTTGAAAGGCACGATGGACATCGTTCAATTTGTTTTTGTTGTGATTCCAACACTACCTCTTGCACTTGGCATTCTTTGTTGAAGCGATTATGTGTCTCCATCCAATACAATTCATTCGTTTGAAAGATAATGTTTTTCAGCAACCTCTAGTTAAGAAAGATTCATAGAAGTATGTTATCAGTGGGCAATTCATTCTACCTCCTTACCATGCCCTCAAGTTCTTACTACGTTATAATGGTTAGCTGAGACTCCCCACATATAAACATCATCCGTGCATCAAAACCAAGGCTGGCATGACGCGGTTATATGAGGGGCGGATTTATTGGGTTTTAGTGTTTAATCTGATGTTACTAAGGTCACATAAATGAGGTTTAATGGAATTTAATTTGATTTTAAAGAGTTGTATACTACAACAAGTGCAAATCTTTACTAGAGACTTCCACATGTCACTTTCGCTTGATGAAATCATTTCAGAGACGCTCATGTGTCAATAACTAAACCTACAAAATATCAAGTTTTATTGCATTAAACCATCAACCCAATTGATTTCAAAAAGATTTATTGGTTTTATCCACCGGTGATCAAAATTGGTAGAAATATACCATGGTGACAAGCCAATCTAACGGTTAGCATGAGTGAGCATGCGTTACTCTCATCTCACAAACCTTCTAGGTAGTCATTGACATTCTTTCCACCATAGCCAGAGGCTGACGTACATCCAACTCATCAACCGGAACACATAGCTGGTGTAGCTGGTGGTGAACACATTCAGGCACCAGATCCTCGTAAAACCCCATATCAATTTAATAAAAAGACCTGCTGTTCATATAACAAATTGTAGAAAATACATTGAAGTTCATGATCAGTGGAATTAAAATAATTTTTTTTGCGTGGAACACACTTTTTCGTCATCTTGAAATTCTTTCATAGTGGAAGTTGTTTATCAAAGAAGTTAGCATGAGTGGATTTAGAGGCATAAACTAGAAATATGCTACGCATGGGGTGAACTCCCAAACCGGCGCGTTGCTATGCAAATAAATACATAGCCACAAAGCACACTGCTGCGGCCACGTGTAACTCACCACGTCGGACGGGCTGCCTAAGTTAGCGCTAATTTTCTGGATCTGCCGGTTGGTCGGTCGGGGTCAGATCCGAGAGAGATGACGTGCCATTCACACCGTCGAGGCTGGCGCGACGTCTCCTTCTCACATTTCGTCCTCCCCCCGCGCTTCCGACCTTAAATCACATCTTTGTCCCCGCGTCTGTGCCCGTTGTCGCCGTCATGATGCTCGGTCGAAGAATTATGCGTCGCCTTCTTCGAAGATGAGTGCTACAAAATCTCCTAGAAAGCTTCCTCCATTAAATTAGCTTAGACATATGCGATGTATGTAATTTGACTGGACTTGCGGACGGCGTTGTCGACCGCTTCGTGCTTTTTTTCCCTTTATTAGAAAACGACAGTTATTCTGCTGCGCGCTACGCTGCTTGGCATGTTCCTTTCGTGTAGAATAAATTTCCTCCTCTAACCTGATCTCATCTTGATCCTTACCCAAGAGCAGATCTGGTTAGCGGTTCCTCATTTCATAAAATCCCGTAATTGCCATAAATTATTTGCAGCTACATTTTCGTTTGGGCTGAGCATTACTCATTTGGTGTATAGTATTCTGACATACATTGCATTGGATGCAATCAAATAGAGGTACTTACCAATTGATATCTTATTTCTGATTGATGTAAAAACGAATGTGAAATATACAATAATGTTGATTCCCTTTATAAATGAGAAAATTTACTTACCTAGCATATTGGACCAATTTAAGATGAAGACTTCGGCATAATGTATGAAATCAGTTCAACGCCAAATTAAGTAAAGTTGATAAAACTTGATTTTTCGGGTTAACAAAACCTACCAGAGTAAGCAATTCTCTATTGAGTCATTCATATAATGCATTTTTATTGTACGAAAGGAAGTTGGATTTGTAATACCAAAGTTTGACTTCTATATCTATGAGAAACTTACAATTACTAAAAGAGAGGAGGGTCCCTTATAGTAAAATGAACAATCAAAGCTTCTCTCATGAGTGGGTTAGCAAATCTATCACATAATCACAGTAGTACCAATTTTTTTAATATCTTCTTCTTCTAGCCATGTCACTGACTTATGAAAGTTGACAAGAAGATAAATGGAGCAACACATGTTATCTGCTTGCAACACATGAGTAAAATGAACAATCCAAGCTTCTCTCATGATTGGGATAACAAAGTCTTTGACAGCTATCCCACACCACTCAGCAGTACTATTTTTGTGAAATGTAGAATAAAAGAGAATGCGTGTATACTCCGGATTAAACATGTGATCACAATTATGCACCCCACATCATTAACCAATCGATCTTCAAAGCATTTGCATAGCAGGCGAGATATGGAGGTGGAAAGAGGAAGGCGAATTATGTCTGCCCACCTTCGTTGTTAAGCGGTTGTGCAATTACAGCCTTCCATCTCGGTAGAACTCAGTAGTTGTGTACTTGGACGCAACATGCACAAAGAATCCTGTGCTCAAAAGTGGTAAGAGTTTGGAACTTTCATCAAACGTACCCAGGAACAAAAATGTTGAGAGGAAAAAAGTAGCAGGAACTCGAACGACCAGCAACACTGCTTCTTCTCATGTCCATTCACTGCTACGACACGACACGTGTGCGTCGGTCCGATCGACAGTTAAAGAAGTAGAACAGGATGTACTCAGGCTGGAGAAAATTAGATCGACGAGAGCAATCTTCGAGACAGAATCAAAGTGAAGGGCCTCGAGATACTGAACAAAATCCTCCGAGGTCGATCCCTCCGAGGCGCGATAGATGTACATTCACAACGCCCTCCGTTCATAAATTGAATGAATGGAATGACCAACATCGTGAGAGGTAAAACAAACTGGTCATGAGGGATTGTCTCTCTACTTTGGCTAATCTAGAGAAATGCTCCAGCAACTCAGGTCTAAACACGCCGTCTCCTGATATGCTCCGTCTGGAGGTTTCAACCGAGTCAACTGATCTGTTTTGGATAATGGACAGAATCCCTCATTGACAATTGGGAACAGCACCCGAATCAGAGCGTCTCAATCCCTTGTATCCGGTGCGGTCGATATCGAATCGATCGCAGTGATGTCGGATCCTGCCACAGTTTCGCCTCATGTGATTGAGATCTGGAGAAGGAGATCATAAGATTCAACTTGGCGCACTGTACGAATTGCTCCGACGTGCATTTGACTTTCTTATCAAGCGACTCTATCTTCAGAACAGTACTAAATTTCCGGCCGTCGCATTCGACAAAGATGAATGCTATTGTACTCACGTCAATTCGAGTCCAGAGGCCGGGTCATGAATAGCTTACAAGCCTTGACAGCCGTGGGATGGCTGGGTCAGTTCGACATCCTCACGTTGGAAGTGCACTATGTCGTCGACTGATATTCTGTCGCTTCGTGCGCTTATATATATTATTGTTAAAGCACAAAATGGCTGTACTGTACGTTGATTCATGACATATATATGTATTGAAAATATTGTGAGTGAGTGAGCGAGCTTCCTCTTGAGACGGATCACATTCGCTCCTTTGCGTTGCATTGCAGGACTTATCAATGCCTGCTCATTATTTTGTAGCCTTAATGCCAACAGTATCATCATGCTGATGTGAAGAAAGCAAGAACTGACATACGTACGTCCTTGAGCTTGAATTTGGTTGAAAAACACACAATCTATCCCATGTACTAACATCCCTCATGAAAATAATGACAAATGTTACGCGAGGTAACGGAGTGAGTACAGGTCCAAGGCGAGCCTTAGGACATGACATCTGAGAATGCAAAAAAAGTGTACTTGGAAAACCACCGATTGCATCTTGATCAAAGTCCAAATGTTTTCTTGCAAACGAGGTTTGTCCTATTCAGTGAGGAAGTTTTGCGAGGATCTGTCATTGATCCTGTTCTCCGTAGATGTGGACTTCCTGCTGTGCTGTTCGGAGCTCCGAGAGGGGAATCATCAGCATCATATCTGTTATCGAGCACACAGTAGAACCTAGATTGGCATCAGCAAGAGTAGAAACAAAGCTCCGTTCTCTCTCACTTCCTCGCAACCCGTTGCATGATCGGTCGTACATGCGCGCACTGTTCCCTTGGGTCCACATAAATTTTCTAGTCGGTTGGTTTCGACCATTAATGGATCTCACTGCACAAGATCATGGTCCCAGATAGCACCCTAGAGCCACGAGTCTTCTTGTGTCACAAGCATATGCGAACATACAGAGACAGGTCGCCCAATATATCTTGCCTGACATTGTCAACTGGAGATTATTTGTCCATGTTTCAAGGCAGTACTTGAGTGATTCGCACCTACGGGGATGAGCAGGAGGCATGTCGAAGGGGGAAGTCGTGAATTAGATGGATTTTAGCTAGTTGGAGACGTTTTGAGCCGCATCACATTTGAGGGGATTACGCTTGTCTCGAGGAAACCTGCAGGAAGTGCTGGAGACAATCCAGATCATAGAATCACAAGGCAGAGGTCTGGAATTCCAAGGAGGTGTGACTGATTTGACCGACACTGAAATCTGAAATCTCTTGGAAAATTTTGGAAAGGTGCCCAAATCTTAAGCCTCGGAATTTGAACGCATGAAGCTGGGCGTGTGATTCATTGTCACAGATAGACAATATCGAAGATGGTTCAACCAAGAAAGCAGGTCGATGTTTGAAGCAACTGCCCCTAAAGTGCTATATGCATAAGTTCGAGCAATATTGGTGGATAGATTACTAGATCCTAGCAACATCAATCAGCACTGACATATCTTGCAAAGACAGCCGGGCACAGCCGGACAGGGAGGTCAGGCCGATAGATTGCAGACCCGATAGCTTTCACTTGCGGAAGACTCAATATGATGGCTCGAGTTCTAGAGCAAACTTAGATTCTGAATTGGATGCTTGTGATTGTACGTTGACATTTGGCTCTGTACGAATGAGCACTCATACATCAAGAGTACATACTCTTTGGTCTGAAGATAAGTACGCTTCATCTGCAAGTAAATGAACAGATTTACATTGCTAAACTCGAGTCCAAACTGAGAGCTCTACGCGTTTTAATTCCTCAATTGATACTGCTCGGGAGTTGCAGCTGAAGTGTGAGGTTCAGTGGGAGACGAGAGCATCACTCGGAGCGTGCAGATCGATTACCTGAAAGTATCGAGTTCTGGAGTATCGGAGCCCAGAGGAGAGAGAGACCGCAAGGTCGCTCGTCACTCCACGTTGGAAGAGCCTACTGATGGGGACTGTGGCTTCGATTATTGGCGGCATAAGTGCTGTCATTGCGTTCGTTGGAATGGCGTACAAGGCCTACTGCTGTTACTGCGTCAAACGCGATTCTCCAGGATCCCCCAAGCAGGCAGCTGCAGCTGCCGCTGACAACAGCACTCGCTGCCCGCGCAGCATCTGTCCACTGGGAGGTGGGAACGGTTCGTGCTCTCAACTTCTTAGTTGTCATGACGATGTCTTAGAAGTTCAATCAGTTCATGTCAACAGAGTGTTCATGCACTCCATGAATTTCATGTCATCTGATTTTCCCATCTTCGATTTCTACTGTGAATCCTCAAAATTGTCGAGAAGCAATTTCACTCATCGTTCGGCGTTCAAAGCGAAGGCATTGATCTTTGTAGCACAAGGGACCCCGAAGGGTGTTGTGTGAGGTTGTTTAGTTTATATCCACCATCCTTCTGCGAGTGGTTCTAAATTAGAGCTCACAAAAGATAAACAACATGTCGGAAGAGTTGTTGTTGTTCTTATATACGCCCAACGACGATCAGGTCAGCATGCAAGGTGCAGAGTGTTGAAGATGCTCCGATCACGTATGTGAAATTGAGAATAAAAGAACGTGGTTAAAATGGCTCGTGACGCAGATCTGGAGCAGGGAGTCGCTTTGGGCGTTCCTACAACATCGTTCGGATCTCCGCCTGTGTACGGATCTGCTCATAAAGGTCTGACAGCATCATCCAGTGGATCGAACAAGGGATCAAAATCTTCTCAGAAAAGCCCGAAAGGTTTACCTGCGGTGAAGTCTAAGGCTTATTCATTTGAAGATATGCGAACTGCCACGCAGCATTTCAGCAATAAAATCGGTGAAGGACGATTCGGCCCCGTGTACCATGGTCGGCTTCTTGCCCAGGAAGTAGCCGTCAAGGTTATCTCGGTGAATTCCGGTCAAGGAGCCAGTGAGTTCGTCAAGGAGGTACGTACCAAACAATCATTCATACATTCATCCAGACTCTACTAGCACCATTACTTGCAAGATGTGAAGGTATTGCCGTATTCAAAGTGCTCGAGCTAGTTATAATAAAAGACTTCCCTTTAGGCATTGCATACATCACCTGTCAACTTGAAGCCGCTGTTCGAGTATGGCTTAACTTTTCCGACGAACTCAATCCTGAGCATGGAGGAAGAAAACTTTCGAGATTTCACTCCTCAATTTGCTCCTCAGCTTGATTCCAAATCTCAACAATATTGTAGGTCTTTCTTGGCAGTGATGTTAGTTTTGTTCCGCCAAATACAAACACTGTCGAGGAGCTTGTGAGTGAGCGCAATGCGTGTGATAAATTGCCACGGAAGAAAAGAAACGCAATGAGTGTGAGGGTCTAGGATTTGCAGTGTCAGAAAAACCGACGACAAACACAATTGTCTTGGTGGTTTCAGGTGGATCTCGTTGCAAATTTGCACGACGAGAATCTCGTCTCGCTTGTCGGACACTGCCAAGAGTCACCGCATCAGATGCTGATCTATAAGTACGTTCCAAATGGAACTCTCCGCGATCATCTACACAATCAAAGTAAGGAACTACTTTGGTTTGGTTGGTCGAGAGACAGCTTTGTTTTCCGAGTCGAGCGCTAAGGCGGACGAAGTCTGATTTCAAGGTATGGTGGGAGAAACTCCGTTCCCCAAATTCTAGATCAATCTCCCAGTTTACCAATCTTTTATTATTATCTGTCACAGGTACTCAACCAGATCGACCTGCCCTTACCTGGCAGCAAAGACTCCACATTGCACTCGATGCAGCAGAAGGTACATTTCATCCTCGGTCTTATGTCAAGTCGTCGGTGCCAGTGACCGTATATTCACTACGATCCGCCAGACGGAGTGTTTGTATAAGCAAGCAAGCAAGAAAGCATGACTTCCTGTTTTCTCCTCAATTTCATGGCTTTCAGTATGATAATACGACTTACTTCCGTTTCAGCGCTGAACTATCTGCACAATGTCCACAAAACGGGACGACCGATCACCATTCACGGAGACTTGAAGCCAGGCAACATCTTGCTGGATGACAAACTGAACGGAAAACTTTCAGACTTTGGGATTTCCAAGTTTGCATCGGTGGATAACAGCGGAGTTCCAACGCAAGTCATCGGCACGCCCGGCTATCTCGATCCGGAGTAAGTGGTTTCTTCGCTCGCAGTTCCTCGCAAACTAAGAACATGTTTCCACTACACTTACAAACAGTTTGATCTGATCTGTTACTAACATGAACTTGCCTAGATATTTCTTGTTTCGAGCTCCACGCTCCACTATGTGAGCCCACCGATTCCAGTGTTTGGTCATTGACGTGTGGTCGGTCTATGTCGTTCAGGTATTCGTCTACGAAACAGCTCACAGCTAAAAGTGACATATACAGCTTAGGAGTGGTGCTTCTGGAGCTGATATCAGGTCGGTCACCTATTCAATGTGGCCCGCACGGCAAACCCGACAGACAGTGGGATCTCATCGATTGGGTAAGTGCACACCTTTCGACTTCATCGTTCTTGAACATGTCAGTCCTCTTTACATTGTTTGATACGACTCTCATCGTCAGCATCCAGGTGTCTTGAACAAACACGTCGGGTCGGGTCCGGTCGTGCTGGCACGATAGGTGTGAAAATTTGTGTGATAGAATAGCGAGAGGAGGCGGATCTTGTTTCACATGCATGTGGGTATGGTTTGAGTTTATGATTCGTGCTCGATCTGCCTGTGCAGGCCCGCAATCTGATTAAAGAGGGAAAGCTGAGCTCGATGGTCGATCCAGCATTAGCGGGCAGGTTCGAGAAACATTCCATGGCGAAGGTGGCCGAGTTGGCCATATTCAGCGTGGAGCCTCAAGGGGTCAACAGGCCGAAAGCGTGCAAACTTGTGACAGGCTTGCTGGAAGCGATTGCAATGGAACAATCGGAGAGCCACTCTAGCCCGTCGTCATCCGGAATATCCAAGAGCTCGGATCAGACAAGCGGCACGTCTGCCAGAAGGTCCACGTCTTCGCAGTACAGCACTGCAGACTCGGAAGCTTTAATTTCGTTTCCCTCTTCTCAATGTATAGAAGCTTTAGAAGCAAGCCTTGGTCCCAGCTCCCCCGCAAACATAATCATTCAAGTCGATGCTAGATGAATACAGTTTTCGGAATCGTTGAGACTTAAAACTCAGGTTAATCATTGGATTGCCCCACCGAACTGGTGAACCTATTGCCGTCAGGACCCAGATATCTCAAGACCTGGTGGTGGATCGGTTCCTGGTGAGCATATGCGTTAATCAGCTGTAGATAGCTCTAAATGGGAGTCAACCATGAGTGAAGAAGGGTTCATTTCTTGCCGTGAAATCTAATCACTAGATAGGACTACGAAAGTCGAATCTGACTTTCCTTTAGGCTCTCAGATGCCATGTTTCACACGTGTCTGGTTGAAGTCCCTGCGATGAAATTCCGTCGATGTGTTGTACATACATATTGACGGCCAACAACGAGGGTTGTGTCCAGGGTCATGAAATTGCGAGTCCCTTAGGGCCCTAGTTGCAAGTCTTCCGATGATAAATGGACCGGTACGCGTTTGCCTGCCGCTCAGAAGAGAATTGGTAAGACACAATCAGAGCTTTTGCTTAGTGGCTAGCAGAGCAGGAGAAACGGCCGAGGATCTGCCTCGGGCCGCCACTCGGCGAAGCTGAGCTTTAACGCATCCAAAGATCAGTTCGGAGGAGGAGGAGTTTGAAAACCGAAGGACTGGTGCGGTGCATATGCAACATGCTATTAATGAACTTATTTGAAACATCAGATAAACCTAACGAGAGGGTCGAGGTAACTTCATCATCCAGCAGATCCTACCTTCAGAGGCAGCTGGAACTCTTCGTAGCTCGTTGAAGTCCGAGAGAGAGAAAGAGAGAGAGCGATTGTTCGAGCTGACAAGGGCTGGAACGATGGAATCTCGAACTCGAACGTGAACCTTAACTTTAACTAAGTTTTGCTAATTTGAAAAGTCGCAAGTATATTTCACTCATTCCCGACAGTTTCTGACAGTGTCGTTCGAGATCCTTGGGGTCGGGCAGAAACGAAGCCACTCATCGACCGAGTCAATATGCTCAGCTCGTCAACGAGCTTGTATATTTACCGCCGATTCATATTTAAGATTTCTTTATTCTCGTCACGACTGCAGGCCATTTCCAGCTGCAAGCATGATTAGTGTCATACTGCACGAAGCGAACGACATGTACATAATTAAATCAGCTTCCTTATATCAATTCAACGCATTATTATTCGGTCGATTCAAGACTCGAGTCTACATGTTTGACACAAAGATGGAAGAGCGTTCTCGCAGATCTGAAGCCGGCATGTCCTCCTAAGTGGATTAGACTTGTCCAAATGAGAGAATGGTCATCTCTCTGGGATGAAATGCCAACGGGCAAATTTCTTCTTTCAAAGTACAGATCACAGGCCAAAACTTCCGTCCTTATTCAATATCTCTGAACAGACAAAAAGCTTCACCGAAATATAAAATGTTGCCAAATCCAGTCTGTCAGTAATCTGAAAGTTATTTTTGTGTGTGCAAACCTTCCTCGAGTACTGGACGTGCACGCCTCAGATGACGTATTGTAAGCTAAGACGAGCACACAATCCCTCGACCCTTACCCCAGGTCCACCGAAAACTAAGAAGTGAGACCGGCCGGAAGAACTGGAAGGGGCGAGTGGAACCGATTAGGATAATGATGCAGCGCTGGACCATGCAATGAGGAGGGGGACTCGGACTACTGAATTAGAATGACAAGCTGTCAGAACGCGGCTGACCGGCTCTCTAGGTCAGCGAGCCCACAGCAACGGTACGAGGCGGACCGGGGGGCAACAAGAAACGCTCATAATGGCCGCGTCTGGAACCAAGAACCGGTCGCTCCGAGGCCTCCCACGAGCGCAGCCCGCAACGCGAGCGCCAGCACATGTTACCCCCCACAAACAAACGCTTCAGAATTCTCTCTCTCTCTCTCTCTCCTTCGTAAGCATCAAATTCTGTCACAGTATCACTCTGACCGAGAGGTACAATAGTACACTGCAGAAGCTTGCGAGCCGAAACGGCGGATCTAGATCCGAGACCCACAATAGCGATCACGTGTACAAAACTGGCCTGCTGATCGTGCGAGCCGGACGCCATCGATCACCCGCCCCACTGGTACACTGTGTCGGGGAACCGAGCGAGCGAGCGAGCAATAGATTGATAGGCTTTGGGGGCGGGCGGGCGTGCGGACTCATCAGCAGCACCGGCAATGAGCTGGTGAACAGACCGATAATTTGAGCCCTCCCTTACGGAGGGCCGCGAATCTTGCAGCCCACCAGTCCAGCGCTGCGCTGCGCTCGAGTCCACGAGCTCGTTCGGAGCCGAGCTGTCGCTCGAGACTCGAGGGTCGGGTTGCAGCCCTCCGATTACAATATGACACCTGAGGCTCCGAGCCGGTGCCTCTCGTCCTGCTCATGCGTGCGTGAGTGAGTCAGTAAAATTTTCCTGATGCCTCCGAGCCCGGCCGGAATGAGCTGAGGCTCGGCCGGGGCAGAGCGATGGGATGGGATGGGATCCGGCATTCGGGAGCATCCTCTCTGGCTTATGTCCACAACATATGAAGAAAGAGGAAGAGACCGTGGCCCACTGCTGGCCTGCTGGATCGATCCGCGCCCGCCTCGTGGGGAAGCTTCCGAGTCTGGTGATGAGGATGGTCTGCGGTTTCCGGCCCTATCGGAGATGCATGTTGGAGAGCAGGCACTGTTGGAATTTGCACTAGAGTACAAGCTTAGCTAGCATGCTTCACGAGCGCGATTCTGCTGCAAGGTCCGCGCTGCGAGCTTCCGGTTGGTTGGTGAAATTTGTCAGTAATGCTTGTTTAAGGCTTTGAGGGAGTGATGCGATGAGTAATAGGTGCGTCGACGAGTGCATGCAAATTCGTGCAGAATCGATCGCCCCAGACTTCAATTGGCCCGATCGGAATGTATTTTAAGTTTGACTCTAGCGTACGAAATGTCTAGAGATCGAGAGCGCGAGAATGACATCTGGATGCATCTGGAGAAGGAATTGATCAAGATCGTGTCGGATAATACAGACTCTTTCACTCCCAGGCGCTGACCCTTCAAGGTACAGAATCACAAGCCTCATTCCCCCCATCACCACCACCACCACCACGGGCCTGAACGCAATGCCATATCCCTCGAGCTCCCAACAAATCTCTCACTTCATTTCCGCAACGAAGATTTCGAATTGAATTGTCCTGAATTGTCTCCACGCCTGGTTCCCTGTCTGACTCACATCCACACCTCGGACACAATTCTATCAATACTCTGTTTTCAGCTCGAAGATTGTTCTTCCGAGAGATTTTCTGAAGCTTCCTTGTTATTGGGAGGTTTAGAGCTGTGTCTCTGTAGCTTCGGTCCAATTAATTATTAAATTTTTATTTTTTTTTATCATTATATCGTCTTGTTACAGTTTCGAGACACGCTTTCGTCTTGCTTCAGTTTCAGGAAGTCCGTTGCAGAAAATTTATGCGAAGACCGTCAGATTTGAAGCGGTGTATAGATTCAGAGTCTTTGCTTTTGTTCAGTAGATGCGTCGAGGGGAGGGAGGGATGATGTGTCCGGATTCCGAGCTCAATCTTCGATGAACCAGCTTTGGATTTCTTCTGCGGAATGTTGATGCAGAGATCTGGACGTGAACTTAGAGGTCTCAGAAGCATATGTCATTCCAGCTGGTAGAAACCTTTAGATGTGAAGGAGTCAGGTTCTCAGAGGGTTTCTGAATCTCACTTTTACGTTTCGAGAAATTGACTTTCGTGCTCCATGGTTTTTCTTTCGTCTCCGACTCATCCAGGCGAGGGAGGAAAGTGCAAATCGATGCTGCGCTGGCCATTTCATTGCAAGGAGTGCGAGTCCAACATTCCATAGACGACGTTTAGCAGTTTCGATCGCCACTTCATCTTCTTCCCATCGTCTGCCTCCGAGCATCGGCAGCATCTGTAGATCTTTCGATCTATAGATGCTGCAAGAATCGTTAGCGTGGACGGGCGGACTCCAACCAAAAACCACCTCCCACTGAAATCTCTGGACCTTTTAGTGTAGGACCATCGGGAAATGGCGATCACTTACGGATTCTTTGTTTCTATAGGTCTTCTGTTCATAGTGGTCATAGTTTTGTTAGCTTTTTTCTACTCTCGTCACAGAAGAGCCGGCGCAGTTGGCACCACGAACTCGTCGCCGGGAGCCAAAAACGTAGCAATCGGTGAGTACATCGACGAACCGATTTTCCCACTCACAGAGCTCTGTGTTTCAGCCCTTCGTCTGCAACGCACATCATAGATAGATTTACAGCTTCGTCGATGTTTGTCACGTCAAAATCTGGGACTGAAGTTCGTGGTCGGCGAGATCATTTGCAGGTAAAGTCACTCCGTGCACAAGACAGACGCGGTCGTTTTCGTTTGATGAGGTGAGGGCTGCTACGCGGGAATTCAGCCACAAAATTGGTGAAGGAAGATTTGGGCCCGTGTACTTTGGCGAGCTCCCAGATGGACAGGAGGTAGCTGTCAAAGTGAGATCTACAAACTATGCTCAGGGGGGAGAAAGCGATGGCCACCTTCTCACTGAGGTGCGAGCGAATTTGATTTCGTTAAATCTGGCCAAATCTTGCTGTTGCTCCACTCGCTGCACGGAATGTACTGGAAAGAATCTGTCATTGTCAAAGCAAGTTTGGGATTCCTTGTGTTGTTCTGTATTCATTCATCTATAAGTCTAGACTACGAGATGTGATGTCCAAGCCTTTTGAACTGATTCTTTACGAGAATTCAGATGGGTTCTTTTGAGAGTATCGATTCTTCCTGGCGCATAAAGGTTTCATGACATTATAAACGTTCTATGATTGTGACACTTATCTAAATTCAAGTACATGCACACTTGAGGTGCACATTCAACAAATTGTCTTTGGAATTCACCAATGTTTCAGGAGCCCCTGGATACACCAACTAAATTCTAACTTTACTGTTCTCACCTGTGAATAGACCTGTGGATTGCTACACTGTCCTTGGAGTCACGAAAATTTTGGAACTTTTTAATTTGACATGTCGGGGTTTAATCTTGCATCACAAGGTTGCAGCTATCGTTGTGGATGTGATCAAAGTTTGGATATTTGTGAGTTAATCACTGCAGCAATGCTCTTGCGCACCTCACCGGGTTTTCATGGTGTACGAGGACCGTGAAGCTAACATGGTGCCCTGTAATTTATGTAGGTTCATGTTCTGGCCAAAGTGCATCATCGACATTTGGTGTCTCTGCTTGGATACTGTCTTGATCCAACCAATCAGGTGTTGGTCTACGAGTTCATGCGCAATGGGACTCTCCGGAACCATCTCCAACGCGGTAATAGTCTCACAAACTCCTGCTTTCCCGCAAGATCTGTTGGTTGATATCAAGCGACCAAGTTGCAGTTATCTCGAAAGTTTGTGAGATGCATCCAAAGCTATTGAGTTTGGACATGTACAATTTGACTTGTGATGTGAGTATGTTTGAGTATTTTTGTATGTACAGCTATGTATTGGAGGCTTGCTCTAAACACAGGCAGAGGGATTGATATACACAGAGCATCCAATTTTCTTTGGAATATAATAATCCATATTTTGAATCATGAACTTGCCTGTATCGACTATCATGAAACATTATGAACACTGGTCAGACTACGAAGGCTACGAAATTGATCCAGTAGTCTTAGTTACTTTGACTCGTGAGAATAACTGGTGTGCAAACCTTTCGCAGGCTGTGTGGGAAAACAACCTCTACTGAATTGGCGGACCAGATTGGTCGTTATCATGGACGCAGCTCGAGGTAATTAACAGACAACTATCACCTCTGCAGTAGCTGAGAATCAGGGTTATGCGTTGTCTGTCAGTGTTGGATGGAGATGCATAGATCATGTTTTGAATAATTTCTTATCCAGGTTTTGGAGCAGCTACATCAACCAGGACCTTATTATCATAGTTCCCTCAATTGTTATGAGTAGCCAAGTTAGAAAGATATTGTTGTCATCTCCTCCTTTCCATTCAACTTGGACGTCCAGGAAGGTCAAGCTTGAATCTTTATGATCGAGTCTTCGCACATGGATGGTATTATGATCACTGCAGTGGCATTCCACTGAGGGTGCTTATATTAGACTCGGATTGGTTGAGTGTGACCTAGGAGATGATTGTGTATGATTTTCAGTTTTGATCGGAATTACCTGATCTTAACGATCGATCCAGAGCTGCTCTGGGCAGCCTGGCTGTATAGGTGATCAATCAGTACAATCGTAAGACTTGCACTGATCGTTTGCATTGGGATTGACTCGCGTCAACCGTCGTGCAGAAAGAAATGCTTGAGCACCGAATTTGATCAAACATGAATATATGCAACTGGTGGTCTTCCAGGACTCCATTCCTTGCACACGGACTGGAACCCGGTCATCATTCACCGGGACTTCAACAGTATCAACGTCATGCTCGATGAGAGCATGAATGGAAAAGTTGCCGACTTCGGAGTCTCGAAAATCACTTTGGATGACGACTCTGGGATCCCAACTCTTCTCAAGTGCACGGCTGGCTATCTCGACCCAGAGTACTCTCTCTCTCTCTCTCTCTCTCTCTCTCTCTCTCTCTCTCTCTCTCTCTCTCTCTCTCTCTCTCTCTCTCTCTCTTCCATCAATGTAATACAGTCAATGATGATTTTCCGTATGAACATCTCCTCTTCAGACACTCTTCAGACACTCGCAGTGAATCCTCAATGATTATAATGTCCTCTGAAATATCCGCTCTCCTCTGCTCCCCATAAAGAATATTCATCACTGCTAATATCTCCATCTGAGAATCTAGCCCCTGATGTTCTTGATCCATCCACCTAAGATTAAATCCTCGTCATGGGGTACTTCCTCGTCTGAAATCCGCCACCCAACTTCTCACAGTGAATCTGCTTTGACTGGACGATGAACGCAGGTACTTCACAACACAAAAGTTGACTCCGAAGAGTGACGTGTACAGCTTCGGAGTAGTACTCTTCGAAATCATATCTGGCCGGCCACCGATAAGCTACAGCCCGGACGGCAACCATTGGAGTAGTCTAGTTGAATGGGTACGTACATCCTCCTCGAACCCTCGATCCTCTGTCCTGTCATAAGTTGTCATGTGTTCATTTTGAATTGTTTGTACTTGCGTCGTTGTCGATGCTGTCGAGTTTTCCATCGACACTGTCATGCTATTGCAGTTCGAGAGAAGTCGCAGTAAGAAATTTTCAAGAGACGCGAATGGAGGTCAGGAACAAAGGAACAAAGCCTTCTCTTATTCTTAATCTTAATTATTGAACAAAAGGAAGCATCTGATGACTTAAAGAACTGATGATTTGCAGGCGAAATCCAGCTTGAAAGACGGAAACGTCCTGTCGATTGTCGACCCGAGTCTTCAAGGTTTGTACTCGGAGGAGTCGGTGCGCAAGGTGGCGGACTTAGCCATGTGTTGCGTGGACCTCCACGGACCGAAAAGGCCAGACATGGAGAAGGTGCTGTTGGCCTTGGCCGACGCTCTATACGTCGAGGAAAACCATCAACAGCATCTGCTGGCAGCCACTGCCTCCCTTCCCGTCAGCAACGTCAGTAGGAACCCCGCCAAACCCCACAGTCATTCCCATCAGCTAGTCTTCGGAGTGCCCATGACTACGGCTCCCAGCACTGTAAGCAGTTTTTCCTTCCCTCGCAGCTGAAGAGCCAGCCAGCCAGGCCCACTCACAGCTGCTGCAGGACTATGAGTGCTGTTGACATGATAGATTACTTCATTTGCTGCAACGATAAAAACTAAAACGTTTGTTTGGTATTCGAATTCATCGAGCTGCCAACTTGAAGGTGTCTTGAATCCGCTTTAGATGTAGACAGGATCCACACGATACACGAACACTATCACACGAACTATTATATATCTTCCATTGGAGGAAAGCAGATCATGTACAACTCAAATCCCAGATCCATTAGTAGATTAAGTTATAATCGGCCGACAAAGGAGGTGGGATGGTTAAGCCCAACTCCTCGTGAGACTTTACTACAGCAACAGACCGAATCCTCATTCCACATAAGTAGTGGACCGATATCTGTTAGATAGGATTTTCTACTCTTACAGCCAGCCCGCCACTTGTTAGCGTAGGGGGGGAAATATGAGAAAACCGAAAATAATTCCACAAGGTAAAGGTAATTGCATCTTTGTGATCTTCAACAGCCTGAGGGTAGTCTGTATCGTGTGTCCGCAAGAAACTTATGTGGAGGGATGGTCTCTTCCAAAACTCAGCATCATGGTTGATACCTCTTTACAGATTCTTTTAGATGATCAATGTTTAATGGTGTGAGAGTCCATGTAAAAGATTCCAAGTTCCCAATATACAATTTGAGCTTCTTCATTTGAGAAGAAATATACATCAGTGCCCTGACTCCATACGTACTTTCCTCTCTTGGACTATACCTTTTTCTTTCCACCCGTTCTTTAACTTTTACATAAACGAAAGCACTTAGTGGCACTATAATCCTTGAACTGTGAACTCTAGATATGACAAGTTTTCATGAGTGTAAGATTTGGAAGATAGGAATTCTTTAATCAAATTCTCTGAAAGTTATTTATATAAAAAAGATTCCCTTCGGAGAGAAACTTTTTTGTCTGGAAGATTCGCACAAGCCGGATGCACAATATCTGGGGGGTTTGCCATTGTCTCTAAGACTGCATGCTCATGGCATGCAGTTTACTACAGTCAACTACAGCCGCCTGTAGTTGAATATGGCTTTGTACTGTATTGTGCTGAGTTCGTAGTTAGACGTGCTGCTAAATACTTGAGCTATCTTATTTCTTTTTCTTTAAACTAATTTTCAGCAAAAATTCCAGTAGAATAGAATATACTATGTCGTTTAGAAATGTCATCTGTTTCTATTTTTTTTGGAAGACATTCAGTGTGATTTCTCTCCAGGGGCGTTGACATGCCCTAGTAGTCTACATACCATCTGCGTAGTTATGCATATCTAGAGCTCACTATCAATTATATGGTAAAATGGTAATAGATCAAGCAGTGGGGACCCAAAAGGTTGAAAATCACAATACAAACAAGTGAAAAGATCCCAAAATCCAATCCCTAAACCATTTCTAAACAACATAACAATGGATTATCTCTAAACTCTGGTATTAAAGTAAGTAATGTGTTTTGATTTGCAAATACCATCAGTGGTTATACATTTATTGAAGGGCAAACTAAATGTCATACATTTATCGAATTCAAATTTGAGAGTCTCTTTCATATCATTGTATTTCCAAATGAACAGTACTACTTTCTCCATATAGAAACGACCACCTTACTTATCACCTGCAGAGCCTCCCCACACGAGCAAGCACTTTGAAGGTCCAATCCAAAAGCAGCCAAAAAGAGAAACCATGTACGCATACAGATAATGCTTACTAGATAAGAGATCATCACGAATGGACCCACAAAAGCCCAGGTGGCTTGCAAAATATCTTTTGCCGTACCACCGCATCCCACCTGGACATATTCCATTCTTATGCGTTATCACTAAAGAACTCCATCTCGCACGACACAACAAAACTCTACAATACATTGAACACACTCCTACAAGAAGACATGTTACACATACCATTTTAATACATGGACGTACTCGAAATGGCAACCAAAATGAAGCACCGCGGCTTCATGGCACACTCGACGAAATTATACGTTCAGCATGTTTTGAACTAAACACAATAATAATTTCAAACCTAAGATTTTAAACACTTCTTTTAAACTCTAAATTCTTTAACACATAAAATTTGCATACCATATATTTTATAACAGGAAATGTAGTCTGATGATAGATTCTAACAACAAGCCGTTGACACAAAAGAAAATTTTATTACACCCTTCGTCGATTACTTGATTGCTAGAATTTGATATCAAACAGCCATGCGTATAACTCTCTGGGAATAAGATCTTAAACTAGCACTCCCTTACTAGATACATATCTTAAGCCCATATATTTGTGAGTCTTGAATGTGTAAGTTTACCATGATTTAAAAAAAAAATTCATATTCTATGGCATTTACTTTACCTTATATTTCAAAATCGATAACCAAAAAATAATATGACAAGTGCGTAGTTGTTTCGTATGATCGAAACATTGTTTTAATCGATAACCATGGATGGAAAAAACCTGAGATATTGTGGAAATTTCTCGCTCCTATTATTTTTCCACCACCACATTGTGAAGAAACTGATCAAATTACTTAATAAATTGGTGTCAGATACTCCGTAAATTGAGGTAAGGCCATCCAGAGAAAAGAATTCATTTTATGATTTTTGAATGGATATCAAGTAACCTACTTTTGAAATAGACAAGAAAATATAGATTTTCGAAACTGTCTTCAACTTAAGACTCTTTATGGATGGTAAGTTCTAAAATTGAGTTATTTATCAATGTGATATATTAAACAATTCCATGTGTTTCCTTCACGTTTCAAATATGATGAAGCACAATACTTTATATAAATAAATTTTACTATAATACTATAATATAATACATATATAGTTGTGTGATACAAGTAAAGGGCAAAGACTGAACATATGTGCTCTATTGAAATAATTATGTAAATATGTTAGTAATGATAAGCTTTTATTTACTTTTATAAGCTTTCGGAAAAATACAATTTTTTAAGTCTTTCCTACTTGGAACTTTTCCAAAACTTTGAAAGATTGGATTTTTAGTGTAGTCAATATTATGTTGATTTTGTACATGTATATTCAACCATTTTACGATACATTTTCCCCCTTAAAAATACCGAAGTAAGTAATAAGTAAGCATTCGCGAATCACTTTTAACATCTGTACTGAGTTTGCTTATAAGGAGAGCATAGATTAGTAGTTGAATATGACTTTTAAGTCATGTCTGAAATTTGTTGTGTACATTATTTGACGCAATATATCTAGATGTTTTTGATAATAATAATCTATGTGTATTGAGACTTTCAGTATCATTTTCACATGAAGAGAGTTGTATCCAAGTATGCATTTCATCACGTTTAGATTTCAGATGCAAAGAATGTGATATAACAAGTAGTTTTTTGCTAATGTAAGTAATGATGAAAAAGTCATCAAATTTACACTTATAAACTAGTACACTCCTAAAAGACTATATTTAAGCAAAATATTTATGATTCAATTTTCTATACGATTATTTTACCATATATTTTTACCGACTTTTGGATTCGTATGGAATGGCTCGAAGTCTCTTTGAGATCAGGTTTATTTAAATAGTATAAATTTTTACGATCATCTTTTAAAATCAAGTTATCAAAAACGTTTCACCATTACCTGTCATTCTAGTTCATTTTTTAAAGATTGTTCAGTTTCAGAGACCGACAGACATAATTACCTGATCCCAAAGTCTTTTAAGTATGAGTCCAAAGTCTATAAAGTATGAGTATGGGGAAAATTTTTATTAGATTAATATATTTTATATAAATATTTTTTAACATCATTTAAGAATGTGATCAACTACAATATATCGATTGTACCATTGAGTCTCTGATGATTATCCATATACTATCTATCATGACCATATCCTGTTCTTTATCACAATGAATTAATCACACTTGAATTTTTTAAATGTATATATTTAAGACAGTATATTTGAAATGGGTATTCACAAGTTATTAACTGTTCTTATATATTATCTTGAATCTAATGAAATTTTTTTTATTAGATCATGTACATATGTGTTAAAAAAAAGGCATAGGGATATTAAAAATAAAAAAACTATTCTGAATTTTAATAAAATTAGAACTATAAATTATATAATTTAGAGTATTTTTTTACTTTATAATAAAACCTATGATTTCTTACTTAATCTTTTTCAATTTGATTATGCTAATTCTCCTCCTATATAACAAGTCCCTGTTATACTTTTAAATTTACATAGACTCGTTTAGGTTTGAACATATAATGTATAATGATTGTTACAACAGCAAGATCTTGTAGAAAAACCTGTCATAATATTATATTCAACCAAATATTCAATAATAAATACCATAAATATACATTTAAATTGCTGAAAATTCAACACACCATCTTGATATGTACATAAGGAGAGATCAGATTTTTTTTAAAAAATATTTCTTATGCTTGATAATTTTTTTGCATAAGATAAGATTCATAAAAAATAATTATTAACAAAATCCTCGTCGTAAGGTTTCCTATGTCCAAATCAATCGTTTCTTGTTGAGTTTGTGTTTATGCATAAAAAAAAATCCCATCTGGACGTAGGAAACCAGGGATCCAAAGGAAACAATCAAGGGCTCGCTGTTGGGAACTGGGACGTTCATATCTTGAGAGTAAGTCAAATTCACAGTGAAAACCGTTATAGGATTCTAGAACCAGAGCTTGCATAGCAGGAACGAGAAACGTCAGAACAATGACTCAGATGACTCAGACTGATGAACAGCAAGTTGACGACATTGGGACGAAGAAATCTCCACAATTGACTTATTCCACAAAAACATGGCGCTGCATGCATGAAGTCAATCAGTAGAGTAAATGTAAATGTGAAGTGAATTTGACCGACTAAAAACAGGTTGTCGGAGGGGAGTGCCGGTGACGACCGTGTCAATACAGTCGAGGCCAGTGTTTTAAGCGTGGTTTGGAAGTTGTGCTGTCATCATGTGGCCAAAGAGCAGCAGTCTCTGGACCCCTGACGATCATCTGGGCATTTGCCGCTTGTGGATTCGGTGATCTTACACTGTGACGCACGAGAGAAGCATCCATCCTAAAGTTGAAACTTTCCTGGACTACTTCCCCAATTGCGGTTCATCCTCTATCATTTGTTGCTCTGGTTGTTTTCCAGACATATACGGAGGGAAGAGCAGTGCATGCACGCACATGAAGAAGAAAGAGATGTGGATCTTCCAAAATCTTCCTTGCCACCAACGCATCACCAGGTTTACATTACAACTTTTCGAAGTTTCAAATTGTTCCCTAACGTTTTCGTCAGTATTTTAGGCAATGTAATGACATGTATTTACTGACGAACGACAGAGATTCGATGGAAAGAAATCGCTTGACAAACCTCCTTATGCGAGACATGAACTGTAGCTAACATCATTATGCGATGAGTATCTGAATTTCAATGCTAGGAAGTTAAAATACGACTCTTCATACCTGCAGTGTCTACAGTCCGACTAGAAAAGTATTTAAGAATAAGCAACTACTGTCAGATAGTAAGATTCAGGATTTTACAGTAGACTGTGTTTCTCGGAACATTAAGGCTTGTCAAGTGATTTAGTGCAGTAGAAAACAATATGCTCTTGCAACATCTAATTCCATGTGTCATGCAGAATAGCTTCTTGCGGTTAGTAGCAGTGTACATCGATGATGTAATCGTCGAAGCCAGTTGCACTTCTAAGTAGAAAAAAGGGAAACGTCAATACATACAATCTACAGAGGTTTGCTTTTTTAAATCCTCGAACTAGTTCTGGAGTATTCAATTTGATTCCGTTTGGACCTGGTCACTTTGCAGAACTCTCTAATTGACCTTTCTTACACATACCCTTCTTTTCAGCCTTAAAAATAGCGATTTCTTCTTATGTTTCTTTTCTGGTGGGCCCAGAACGAGCCAAAGTTATTGTGTCGCAACATATGCTTTTGCAGTATCTCCATAATTGGCATACATGCTTGACTCCCACCAGGATCTGATCTGATCTGAGTCTTCGAAATGATCACATCGTGAGATGCATGAAGAACCAAGTATTGCAACGAAGTCGAGTACTGTGTCTTGGAAGGATGCAAAGTCAGGCAGGCGGGAGGAATGTGAGACCAGAATCAGAATCCGTCCGTCGTGTGACGAGGCGACGCAAACTGTCGCTTTTAACCTTCCATGACCTTCCTCATCCAGAAGGTCACCAAAAGTCGCTCGAAGACTTAGGAGTAAGACTTTGCTGGAACGAGATCTTCCATGATTCGCATTTCCGAATGTGATTCGTTCCTTCCATCTGGCTGTGTTTTCATACTTGGCATTCGAGTAGTTGGTTCAACGCAATCGGTCGAATCCAAAGAAATGATTCACCGATGTCACAAGAACCTACTACGGTTGTGCTCTTTGAACCAATCTGTCAATGTGCTTTGGATTGCTTCACTTGTACAACTGGTACTTTTTGTTGGTGAGCAATACATGTACCTCCTTTGACTAATGGTGATATTCAACAAAGCCCATGCCCCTTGCTTTTATGATTCCACTATATTTCTTCTTCTCACTCTATGTACTTGTAATGTTGTGATGCATCAATCTTTTCTAGGCGATGTGGCATGGTATTGACTCTTGTTAGTGGATCAATTAATCAAGATACTTTTGGATTTACTAGTTGATGTACTAAATATTTTTCATTATGATATTAATTCTCATTTGAAGTCTTCATGTGTTCTTCCCAAATATTTTATATGTTCTTGGAACCCTCACCCATCTTCATTGTTGCAAGCCGTGCTATGTGCAAATCTAGACGAAAATTTTTGTTGTACTCCTTGAGTTTGGCTACTGTTTCTCATTTACCTTCTTTCTCTTCAAAAAAATATTCCTAAGCACCCTCAAGAAAATGGCTATGGATGTATAAATTACTAGTCAGCTAGATACTTGCCCTGCCAGACGGATGGTAGGAAAACCCCGTCCTTGCTTGTGCAGTGTACCATCACTATTGAGCAACTTGAGCGGGCACTTGCTTTAAGAGGCACGACGAGACATGTTACTTTCCACAATCTATGTGCTAGATTGCCCTATGCTGGAAGATTTTGTTTTTCTGCTCATGGGTTCAAGCAAGGACACCACAAAGTCACGTCTGAGCTGAATCGGATGATTCAGCTCCATAGACGTGATGTTTAATATAAAAGTATTGATCTCAATCCGTATGGACTATTCTTCTATGAGTTGATTGAGTGCTTCTTCACTTACAACATAATGTTCCAAAGTGAAGTCACAAGGCTGATGACTCCGTGAGCCCAGACGTCAAATTTTTACTACAATTCACTTCGGATAGAAGTTTAACTATTATAACCAAACAAGTACTACCTGCTTTGTCCTAATCATATCGTTAGCTCGAGATTGAACGATAGTGATGGTACGGAGGTTGGAAACGCTATAAAAAGTTAAATACCTGTGTGTTTTATTTTTTCTATCAAGTTCATGATATGCAAGACTCCATGATGAAGATGATCAAATTATATAAATATTCGCACAATTCACAAAAGAATATTTTTTGAAGTACTACGCATACACGTGAAAATGTACTAACATCTTTTCAAGATGAAGTATGCAAACACTCCAGGAAACAAACTAAACACGAAAAACCCCATCTCCTTCTACTAAAAGTAAGCTATAGCTCATGGCAATAATGAAGGATGGATACAAGTTATGCAAGTTATAGCTTAGACATAGAAGGGATCATCCGTTGGGAGTGATATGGATCTGAAAACATCCAATAACAGGTATTGTCAATGTATAATGTAAACTTCCTGTCAATTCTGTGTGCTCGCAAGATATTAGGAACAGATTTTCCATAATAGTTGACTGCTGATCTTTACATATTTATGACAGATAAACATTTTGAGGTTTCAAGCTACATCTTCTCCTATCGTGAATTCTTGGTGGAAAGGGCAAGCAGGAATTTTGGACTTGATGAAATCCGAATATGTCTGCCTACTGACAAACTTATATATGTGTTGCAACGTGGCAATGTGAAATTTGTCCATCTCAATATTCCTTCTGTGCAGCTCTTGTAGTCATACTTACACCACTAAACAACGAGATATTGTTGGGAGTGGATGTTGCACGCAGGTCTGCCTGAACCTGGACAAAGGAACTTTTTATCCAACCTCTCGAAGAGTTGTTCAAGGACATGTTGACTATCTGGTCGAATTTGACATTGCAGTCATTTTTATCTCCATTCACGTGTCACGATGTTGACGATAGTTGAGTATGTCATATGAGATGGCCTTGATGTTCCAACCACAACAATGACATTTTTCTGTGTCCATTATGCTCATGTAGGGATCAAAATAGAAGTGTGAGAAAACATTCACGCTAAATCTATTCTGATTGGATAAAAATATACGTATTATTCTAATTTTAGGTAAATAACTTGGAATCTTCAAACTAACAAACTCACTAACACCTCTCTATACGAATCTGCATAGCGCTCAACTTTGATATCAATGGAGGTGAATACAAAATAAAATCTTTTAGGTGATTATATAATAAAGAATCATTCATTCAATCTTAATTTTCCATAAAATAGACTCCCCGACGTGTTGAAAACTAATCCAGGCCTCATAACCTACATTACGCTCCCGTGACCAATGAGAAAAAAGATAGGAAGGTTACAATACCCATCACAGTTGTAAAGAATCGATTCATAGCTCATCATCTCACGTTGTTTCATCTCAAAGTTACCGCAGCGTAGCTGTCTCTGAGGTAGATTGTGGCACCTTTCTCATTTGACCGATAGAAAATTTTGAGTTCTGAGATATTGATGTTTATCTTGCATACCAAACCTTCTTTGTCTTCCATATGCATCAGGTGAGCCTCGAACAAATATCTGAACAATTTAATAGTCCAAAATATGCATCCATCATTGAACTGGAGTATCATAAATTTGGTTAGGCGTGGAGTATAGGTTTAGCACTAGTGATACAGCAACTCGATCACAGCCATCAGTTATGGACTTTTTATATTCGCTACTTTGTACTTTGGAAAGGTAGATAGGAAAACCATCATGGAGTACTAGTAAAACACTGGGTAAAAGAGTGGACCTTCGGAAAATCTTATCCACAAACATTGACCAGAAACACCTCGTTCAAAACTGAGAATGATGATGGTGACTGGATAGGATAGCTTGTTCACAAATGGATCGAGAATTGCGATCTTATACTAACCGGATAGTTTTGGGGTTGCCAAAGGCAGCATGGAGAACATCTCTGCTCGACATTCGTGCTGAAAATCTACCGAATAATCCAGCGGCCAATTATATATCTGATAAAACGTGCACATTGTTCATTAAGAACCCAAGGAAACCAAACTGTAGACTCTAGAATAAATTTCAAACAGGATCTTATTGAAGGAAAACTAAACTTGACCTTATGAGCCGGACTTAATACTAGGAGACGTCAAAGGAATATTTTTTGAACAGAAAATTGGATTTGGTGTTATGCGCTGGAGTTATTACATCGTGAAGTTTATGGAGAAAAGTGTTTCATGAGTCGTCGTAAGCACACTAAGTTCCTTCTGACTGCAAGGTGCACAGTTATGGGAATAATGGAGCCCGGCCAACACCAACAGATGTTCACTAGCGTTTGTACTTCTATCGTTCATGGAATAAACCATGATAAAAAGGACTAGGAAATACACACATATTGGCTAACATGGTATAATTATACTCATAAGTATGACCATTTCAAGACAAAAGAATGTTCAATCTTGAAGCCATGACAGTGACATATTGGATTGGTGCAACAGTTTACATCTTTATTGCCCAAATTTTAGTACCTTGCATATAATTAGTCTATAAGCTTATATATTTTACAGCTGATTGAATATCGAATGAGATGAGTGCTAATCCTCTAGAATTGATAGCACTCAAACTTTCAAGTGTAAAGATATGCATAGATGTGCATACTTTAGCTTTGGGGTTATGAATTCTAACTTCGACAATTCAAAAGCTACGAGGTCTTCATAGACATTAATTAAGAATTGCTTAAAAATGCATTGATTGATGCAAATCATAGAAAATTCATCATCTTTATATATACGTCCTTGAAAATTTTGGAATTGATAAAATGATATCATATATAAAATAGGATATAATTTTATTTTGTCATAACATCTCAAGCATATCCTATCAATGGACTTTATGCACAATTTGTTATGAATTTCCTCCTTTCTTTTTCATAGATTTTCTTCTAATCGCCATGAAAAATTATTTGCATAAGCATCCTTTGAGCAATATTTATATTAAAGTTATAGGCAATGTCAGATTTCATTTGGACAAAAAAAATAGTAAAAATAACAATACAAAGTTGATCATGACTACATCTTCTTCATTAGAATTCAATCTGAATAATGAATGACTGTAGGTGCATTTAGATTGTTACATGTGAAAGACAAAATTTTATGTCTTATACCATGCAAAATTGAGAATTTTTAAAATAAATGTATGATGTTAAAGAATTTTTCAGATGTTAATACTAATGAAGAGTATTGATTCATTCAAATCTTTCTTTAAATATGTTCGAATGATATAGATACTTAGTTGTTAGGCTGAAATAAAGTAGCAATTTTTTTTTAAATGAACATTTATTTAATATCAATTTAAATTTATAAATAATGATAGAGTTTTCATATTTCAAGAGAATTTACATGATTTGAAGAATACTATATATCATATTTCTTAAAAAAATTGCTAAAAATATTTGATACTTTCGTTGAGAAAATCAATCATATTTTAAATATCATTTTTTCTGTTATTATTCCAGTATAGACACATTGTGAAAATATTTCAATGACATCAAACTCAAAGCAATGAGAATGTGAAATGAACATTTTATTTAGTTAAAACTTGATAACAAATTCAAAAAAAAGTTCACAAGAAATATCAAACACAGAACTAATATCAGATTACATAATTGATTCTACGTCCAGGGAAGTATAAATACTTAATCTTGAACTCAAATCTATTTCAAAAAGCCTTTTAGCCAATTCTCATACGTTGTTTAATAAATTTATGAGAGTTGGTATAGATATTTAGTTTATTTTTATCAAAAAATTCACAAAAATTACTATTAATATTATTTCTAAATCAAGAAAATTTCATAAAATAATTTATTCACTTAATTTATAAAATTTATTTTATAATCTTATAATTATAATAATCAAATATTAATAAGAAATCTTTTAATTTTATAATTTTTCAATTGATCAATTTTCTGTAAAAAATTAAATCTTATTCAATGCATTTATTTTATCTTGTGATATAAGTACATACATTCAAATTATAAATTGAGTTACATGAATTATTCACGTACAAAATTTTTTTTCAAAAAAAGATGTATTAAATTTATCATAGGGTAAAATTTTTCAACAAAATATTGATATCATGACTTCATTTGAAGATGAATCAAATCTCAGTTTAAATTTATAGACATCTTATCAATCTTATGATCATGAGTAAACTA